GGTTGCATGGAGTCCTGTCTGTGTTTCCTGTCTGCTTTCAGGAAAGCCCAGTCAGGATAACCACACTGCTCCAAGGCCTTCGTGTGTGCTCAGATCAGCCAAACGCAGCCAAACTGATTGGTCTGTTTCATACTACAGATGGACAATGACCCAAAACATAAAGCCAAAGCAACCCAGGAGTTTATTAAAGCAAAGAAGTGGAATATTTCCAAGTCAGTCACCTGATCTCAACCCAACTGAAGACTAAACTTCAGACAGAAAGATCCACAAACAAACAGCAACTGAAAACAGCTGCAGTGAAGGCCTGGCAGAGCATTAAAAAGCAGGAAACACAGCGTCTAGTGACGTCCATGAGCTCAAGACTTCAGGCAGTCATTGACAACAAAGGCTTTTCAACCAAGAACTAGAAATGAACATTTTATTTACAATTATTGAATTTGTCCAATTGCTTTTGAGCCTCTGAAGTGAAGGGATTGTGTTTATAAGATGCTTTAGTTCCACACATTTTTATACAATAATTTTGTTTAACACACTGAATTAAAGCTGAAAGTCTGAACTTCAACTGCATCTGAATTGTTTTGTTTAAAATTTATTGTGGTAATGTCTAGAACCAAAATTAGAAAAATGTCTCTGTCCAACCATACTATGGACCTGACTGTACTTTTAAGATTAGAAGACTTTCCTTTTTGATAAATCCTATAGTTAAGACTTAGGTTTCCTGAGTTCTTAGTGAGGACAAACTGAGCACGTCCTCACTCTGTTGCTCTTAACTTGATCTTCACTTTTAGATAGTTATTACTCCCATTAATCTGTTTTTCTTCCTGTATAAACACCTGGACCAGTCCTCCAGTGTTTGCTCGTCTTTCTTGTCCTCCTCACCACCACCACCTATCCTGAATAAGGTCTAATTGATATTTTGTGTACTTTACACGATTGGATTATAAACTGCCTGGCCAAAAAACAAGTTGCCACCTGGGTTTAGGTACAAGCCTCCTATTGGATAATTACTGAATGTGTGATTATCTTTCAGCTGGAAACTAATGACCCCAACTGGTGCAATGAGTTGCTTCTCATTTCTTAAACAACCATGTGGAAAGACATCCTGTGGTCGTGGAAAAGATGTCAGTCTGTTTTAGAAGTGTCAAATCATTGACTAAGCAAAAAGAAAAGATTCATTTTTCTAGGGAGCATAAAGACTGGACTCTGGAGGTCTGATGAGTCCAGACTGACCCTGTTCCAGAGTGATGGTGCATCAGGGTAATCAGTCTCTACTGTACCAGCCTGTGGGGGCAGGTCTATGATGTGGGGCTGCTGCAGGTGGTCAGGTCCAGGTCCAAGTCCAACAACAGTCTGTGCTCAAAGAATGAGGTCAGCTGACGACCTGAATATACTGAATGAGCAGGTTATTCCTTCAATGATTGTTTCTTCCCTGATGGCACGGACATATTCTAAGATGACAATGACAGGATTCATGGGGCTCTTATTGTGAAAGAGTGGTTCAGGGAGCATGAGACATCATTTTCACACATGGATTGGCTCCACAGAGTCCAGTGAGAATATTTAGGATGAGCTGGAGAAGTTCAGACTCTACCATCATCAATACAAGAACTTGGTGAAACATTAATACAACAATGGATGAAATAAATCTGCTGACTTTGTAGAAGTTTATCCAAACAATGACACAGAGAATGAGTGCTGTAATCAAAGCTAAAGGTGGTCCAATGAAATATTAAAGCGTGACCTTTATTTTTTGACTGGAACTGAATCAGGCTGGAGAAAACTTGCTGACAGAGATGAATTTTGGTAAACTGAGCTGAATCTAAAACCATGTTCAAAACTCTCATTTAACATATAACTTAGAAGTTTGTTTTTATTTTAAAACATTTTAAGGGAATACAAATAAACACAAAATCTTAACAGTACTACATTTTTCAAATACAAAAGAAGGAAAAAAATACTTTTAAAATGTCTTTGTTTTTGCTCCTGTGAAGCATAAAAAAAAAAAATACAAATTATATAAGATAAGCCAATGAAATAACTCCAAAAGGACTGAGCAGACAAATAGTAAAAACTAACATAGAAGTGATTCACCTGATCAGTTTTATATGTTGTGTTTGTTTCAATAGAAAACAAAGTTTCTCAGGGAGGCGTAGTCTACAAACATCAGGTCTAATTTGTCTTCACGCACCAATTCTTCAATTCAATGATTCTTTTAATAAGAGTTTGCTGCTGAAGTAAGCAAAGGTCAGGTGGCACTGGGCCTGTGTTAGCACTTCCACCTAACGCTACACTACACCGTACACTTCAGCTACACAGTCCTGCGTGTCCTCGCTCAGTCACTCCATGCTGTCTGGGTCTGCCTGGGCCATGTAGGCGTCCAGCTCTGCGTCCAAGTGACCCTTGGTCTTTGACATGTAGGCGTCTAATTGATTGTCCAGTTGTTCACGAGTAACGGATGGCCGGCCCACTCCTCGGCCCCGCCCACGACCACGGCCTCGACCGGCAAACGCCAGACGTCCGCGGAATCCACCACGGCCTGTTCCAGAAAAACCAACAACGTCTGAGTACACATGACGCAGGGTTCCTACAGCTTAAAGTAAGTTAAGACTTTTTAATGCCAAGTGAAATTAAATTTAAGACCTATTTCATAATAAACCCAACTGACAAAAATAAAATAAAAACTGTGGCAGAAACTGATGAATCAAAGTATTTTTGGTTGAAGTATTCAAATATTGCTAACAGACCAATTGTTTTTATCCATATCCAACTATAGCAGAAACATCCTTAGCAGTCAGTTTTAAACTTCATTTAATTTCAGGAAATCCTCTAACTACCCAAAATCTGCAGTTTTAGGACCCACAGTGGGTCTAAATCCCAATTTGCTGTAGATGAAACCTTAAAGTGCCTGTGACATCAAGTTTTTGTAAGAAATATGAATGCATTTATGGAAAGACATTATTAACATATTACAAAACAAATCTTATATTGCTCAGATGAACAGTTGTTGAGATATTTGCACGTGAAATAACAGGAAGTGATGTCAAAGGAGAAAGTCTGCATGTGAATATTTAAAAAATTTTTTTTACCAATTATTTTCATACTGGAGATGAATTACAATCATGTGTTAATATTTTTAAGACTTCTGAAAGGCTGATTTAAGACATTTTAAGGCTAATTAAGGCCTTATTTTTGGATTGCTGAATTCAATGACTTTTTAAGGATCTGCAGGATGAGATTGTGATGAGAAACCAACAAAAGTAAAGATTTTAGAGCCGAGTCACAAAAAGAAACTATAGTTGGTAAAATGTAATGGAAATTTAAAAAAGAGCCAACCTCTTCCCCTGAGCATTCCTCCTCGGCCCCCTCCTCGAGACAGAGGTCCACCTCTTCCAGCTGGTCCTCCGCGGAACCTTCCTCCTCTACGCATTGGGAGGCGACCTGCAAATCCACGACCTCTCATGGGTCCACCTACAGGCATTCTCCTTCCTGTTTCCAAAAATCAGATCACATAAGTGCGGGAAAACAACAACCAAACTACAGCCTGACGGTAGAACACTGGGGCCTCGCTCACATGGGGAAAATACAATGAATAAAAATATAAAGCCATTAAAGGGACATGATCATGATCAATATCAACAGAAAATACATCCGATAAAATGATGATCATTTCACTGAACTCCAATCAGAACATGACAGTGTTCTGAGAGGTGTAGGCAGAGGAAAGGTTTAGCTGCTCGACCTCTCACAGCTCAGCTCAGCAAGGCTGGTGGCATCAACTAAATCCAATTTACACTGCGTCCACTCGGCTCCGACCTCTGCAGCACAAACACATCTATTATAATCAATCTGAATATTTACACTGCATCCAAACAACGGCTGCGTGCACATGACGATCAGCCAAAATTAGACTTGATCCCATTTTTGCCAGACGAACAAGTGCGGAGTCACCCCGGATTTACACTACATGCGTCTCCGCTCCGCTGCGCTGCGGTGTGCAGTTCGCAGCTGTTCGTTTGTGCCCCGATTTATACAGCGTCCACTGCGCTCAGCTCCGGTCCGGTCCGACACAGAGGAGAGAGGGTGTGCAGGAAGGAGATGGTGCGATAAATTCAGTCAGTAATAAATGTGGAAGTCACAGCAAAAAATAATTAACTCTGTGAAAAAAAAAACTCCAAACACAGCTGAAAACATTAATATAAAGGTTTTTGATATATATGTTCAAACTGTCTCACACTCGTCTTTCTGAAACTTCTGATTTCAAAATAAAATCCACGTGTATCGTGTTGTGTACATATGCTTCATGCTACGTTTCCATCTACTTCCCAAACAGAACGATACACTCTGACAGCATTTGTGTAGAAATATATCCGTATATTTATTAATATAGCTGCAATTTTGACATTATTCTGACAAATTATCCAGCCTAAAAGAGTCTTATTTTGAAAACACGGATGTTGTGCTCGTTTCTCTTCCCGTTGGTGCGATGTAATCTTTAAAAATTGACTCTGGCGCAGCTCCGGCGTCCGGCAAAAATAGGATCTGTTCTAATTTTGCCGGATCGCCGTCCGCTCACCGCCAGTGTAAATACTCTCATTGATTATAATTTGCTGCGGAGGTCGGAGCGGAGCGGAACGCATGTAGTGTAAATTAGGGGTCAATCACACTGCAATAATGACCATATTTTCAAAGTAATTCACCAAAGAGATTAATATTGTCAAAATCCTAGCATCTACATCAAGAAATATATGGTTATATTTATACACACATGCTGTCAAAACTGAAGCAGATGGTAACATGAAGCATACAGATACACGCAAAATACAAGTGGATTTGTTGTTGTTGAGAGCGTCTTCCACAGAATGAATTATTTTGTCTGACGTCCACATCACTGGCTTTATGGCTCAGATTTCTTGTGCTGCGTCTCAGAGCTCCTGTGTGCTTCGCAGCAGAGTGGACTCAGTGTAAACTGCGGATAACTCACTCACTCTTTGGTAAGCTAGCAACAACCTGTTGAGTAACGTGCAGTAAGTTTCATGTTTCGCCATCGTGACCAAAAAGTGCTTTACAAAAACGTGGCGTGTACGGAAAAAATGATGCAACAGCTCGAGAATAAATTGTGGATAAAAGAGGAAAGGTCAGGACTTTTTCTCCTGGTCCTTTTTTCAAATAAATAAAACAAAAAAACTAATCAATAATTATCAACAGACTGATAAACGTTCACATTGTGATTAACTTTCAGCCTTATCATCCTGCCCTCGGCTGAAACAATCAAAACTAGCAGAAGGACATGACTGGGTCACAAACCCCTTAGAGAAGACAAAGCTCCTCGAATGATTCCTCCTCTCATGCCTCCCCTGGTCATCCCCCGCATTCCTCCTCTGCCCCCAGCAGGTCCTCCTCTCATCAGGACTCCGACGGGCCGGCCCAGCCTGGCCTGGATGCTGCCCTTCCCCAGACGCTGCTTCAGGCTCTGCCACAGGTTCAGGAGATGCAATCATGAGAAAATAAAATAGTCATAAAATTTGATCATTAAATACATTTTGGATAATTTCTTTAGTTTTAGGTGAAGATCAACTTATGAGAAAGAACCAAGCAGTAACTGTTTTGATCAAACCTGGAAATGATGTTATTAGTAGAGATGTTAAACACATCTACATGTAAATAACAGGAAATAAAAGCTGACATTCTGAACTGAAGTATGGTGTAGTAAAACTACTCCGAGAAGTATATTGCTTCAAAAAAGTTATTCAAATGTAACTAGTTACAATCCACAAGGGTTGACACTAATGACTATTTTGATAGACGACTAATCTGCCATTTTTTATTTGATTAGTGGAGTATTTTTTCTGTCACACCCTGCATCCATGCTTCCTGTGGGTGCAGCTCCTGTTCCAGCAGTGCACGTCTCATCTCACCTGCTCACACCTGAGAATGTCACCCTGTCTCTACCTTAGTTCTCAAAGAAATTAAAAGGATGACCCATGAAACTTAAGAAATATTTTAACATTAATACATGTAATAAGAAAAATCTAATTAAATAATACAGATACAGTGCAAGCACCATTTTTAACAAACAGCTAATGTGCAACAAATGGTTGAAGATGAGACATGATACTATACCAGTGGTTTACTATGATGACACTTAATGCATTGGCTGATGTTAACATACAGCGGGTAAAATAAGTATTGAACACGTCACTATTTTTCTCAGTAAATAT